TACAAATAATACTAAACATCCCACCATGTGTTAGGGAACTGACTAAACCCTACATGGAGGGACGAACTATAATCACCATATTGTTGGTGATCTTTATTGGATAATAAAATTAAATTAAAGAATTATTTGGGGCTTACCATCGATAAAAATTGATGGAAACCCCTAAGCTTTACTATGGTGGGTAGGTTTGAAGAGAGATAATAGAGAAAATTTTAGGGCTTTTTTCGTTTGATGGGAAATTTAAATTTTATTGTTTTAATTTAATGGTTGGTAATTTAAAATAAAAATAGTTCTTTGCCCGAGTAATGCTCGATTATTCATAGGAAAAAAATTATTTTTTACAAATTACTATAAGTTTGTACTTCGTATTTGTTAATAGATTGTGTATTTATTTAGATATTTTATTTAGTTAAAGTTGTTATTGTTCTAATTTTTAGGCTGCATATTCTCGCTCTTTTTTTTTATCAATTATCTTATTATTTTTAAGGAAAAAGAAAAAAGAAAAAATAGTTTTTGCCTGGAAAATTTTATTGTGGACGCGACACGTGTACTATTGCGATAATCCTGGTGATTACTTTAGTATATAGTATTGATTTCTTGAAGGTGGTAATTTCAAAATAAGTGTATTTAATGGGTGGTAATTTAAAATAAAAATTTCTTTCAGACAAATAATCAATAATCAATTATTATATACTAAAAGACATACCAATAGTGCTACATGTCATCTCCTAGTGTGTCTTTAGTTTTTTACGAAGTTAGTGATACAAATGTTATAGAAATATCATGATTAGTGAGTTTGGTGGTTTACTGACTCAGCCATGGGTGGTCTATGGAGATTTTCATAATGCCTTAAACCTCAATGACTGAATTAGGGCTCATGTCACCCTGAATGAGGTTGAAAGGTTCAGAAGTTGTATGAGACTTTCCAATCTGGATGAAGTTAGGACAGAAGGGCTCTTCTATACTTGGAACAATAAACAAAATGGTGCTGATAGGGTGTGCTCAAGAATAGACAGAGTACTATGGAATGGAGCCTAGCTGGATAAATTTCATAGGGTTAGTGCAATGTTTTTACCTAAGGGTCTCATGGACCATTGTCCTTGTGTGTTAAATGTGCTAGAGAATGTTGGTTCTACTAAAAATCCATTTAAATTCTTCAACATGTGGGCCGATTACCCTAGATTTTTGAACATCATAGCAGACAGGTGGAATTGTAATCTCCAAGGTACTCCAATGTTTTGTGTGGTTAGCAAGCTCAAGTTTGTGAAAGAGGCTTTGAAGTCTCTAAACAAGCAACATTTCTCTTCTATGATCAGTGTTGATGTTCACTTGGAGGCTGAGTTGAAGAAGTTACAAGCTCATTTAAACAATGATCCTGCTAATGAGGTTCTAATTGTACAGGAAATTGAAACTAGAAGGAGGTACAGGGAGGCACATAGCAGGAAGATGCAGTTTTTGAGGCAAAAGGCAAAATTGCACTGGCTAAAGGCTGAAGATGTCAATTCTGGCTTCTTCCATGCCTGTTTAAGGAAGAGAAGAGTATAGAATAGTATTTGTAGTATTCAAGGGGAGGATGGTAGGATTTCTCAGAAACCTGAGGACATTGTTGGGGCTTTCATTGCTTTCTATAAACAGCTTCTGGGATCTGCTAGGACTATGGGTAGTAAACTCCATTAGATTGTGATTTGCAAGGGTGAGGTGCTAGTGAGGAGCAGGGTAGTGCCATTTGTAGGCCTTTCACTCCAGCTGATGTCAAGGAAGCTCTCTGGGGCATTGATGAAAATAAGGCTCCAGGCCCTAATGGTTTCTCTAGAAAGTTTTTCAAGGTCTCCTGGTGGCATATCATTGGCTCCGACATTACTAAGGTTGTGTTGGATTTCTTCTCTCATGGTAGACTATTAAGACAAGTAAACTCTATAGTGCTCACTATGGTCCCTAAATTTGATAATGCTTCCAAAGTAAGCCAATTTAGGCCCATTGCTTGCTATAATGTCTTATATAAAATCATTTCTAGGTTGATTTGTGCCAGGCTCAAGAAGGTGCTCCCTGGTTTAATCAATGAAGTCCAGAGTGCTTTTGTAGCAGGAAGATCCATCTTTGACAATGTGCTCATCTATCAGATGTATTGAAAGGTTACAGAGATAAGAAAAAGGCTCCTAAATGCACTGTGAAATTGGACCTTAGGAAAGCCTATGACTCCATTAGTTGGGATTTCATGCAGGACATACTGGGTGCTCTGAGATTTCCTCCTATGTTTGTGAACTGGATTATACAGTGTGTGTCTTACCCTTCCTTCTCTATTATGGTGAATACAGGGTTGAATGGCTTTTTTAAAGGAAAGAAAGGGATAAGGAAGGGGGACCCCATGTCTCCTCTTCTGTTTGTTATTGTAATGGAATATCTCTCTAGACTTTTAAGCAAGGTGGGTGATCTGAGTGGGATTAAATTTCACTTAAGATGCAAAATGCTTCACCTTAACCATCTTGCTTTCGCTGATGACTTGATGTTATTCAGCTATGGGGATAGAGGCTTTGTGGTTCTCTTGATGAGAGCTTTAAAGACTTTTTAGAAGTGCTCTGGATTGCAAGTTAGTGCTGAGAAGACAGCTATATTTTTTGGGAATGTGCCTAGGGGTGTGAAACAGGACATTCTGAGCATTTCTAGTTTTGTGGAAGGCTACACTCCTTTTAGGTACCTAGGTGTTCCTCTGAATGTTAGGAGCTTGGCAAATATTGATTATAACAACCTAATTGACAAGATGTTGGCTAGAATTACCTGCTGGTCCAGCAGGAACCTATCCTATGCAGCTAGAAGTATCCTGGTAAACTCAGTTTTGCTTAGTCTTCATACATATTGGGCTCAATGTGTTATGCTTCCAGCTGCGGTCATTAGAAGAATCACACAGCTTTGTAGGGCTTTCCTTAGGGGTGGAGATACTGTATTAAGGAAATCCCCTCCCATATCCTAGGATTGGAACTATATGTCAAAGAAGGCAGGGGGTTTAGGCATGAGAGATTGCACTTCTTGGAACACAACAGCCTTAGGCAAGTATGTGTGGAAGGTAGCTATGAAGGAGGATTCTATGTGGGTTCGGTGGGTCCATGCTGTTTATATTAAAGATGGAAATTGGTGGGAGTACAAGCCAAAAAAGAGTGCAGGGTGGGCTTGGAAGAATCTCTGTCAGGTTAAAAACAGGCTGAAGGAGGGCTTTGTTAGTGAGGGATGGTTGAGCAGTTCTTATAGCATTTCAAAAATTTATAAATGGTTACTTGGCCCTCAGCAAGAGGTAGATTGGTCTTCATGGGTGTGGAACAGGTTTAATATCCCAAAGCATTCTTTTCTCCTTTGGTTGGCTGTACAAAACAGGTTAAAGACTAGGAGAAGACTGTTTGACTGGGGTGCCTGCCAGGACAATAGTTGTCTCTTGTGTGGTGAGGCTATTGAGGACAGGAAGCATTTGTTTTTTGAATGTGAGTATAGCAGGAAGTGTCTCAAAGGTATCAGTGAGTGGCTGAATTTCCCAATAGATGATTTTAATATTGATACTTTATGGAAATTTTAGGAAGGAAAGGTGAAGGATACTGTCAAAAAAAGAGTTTGCTATGCTGCTTTGGCTGCAACTGTTTACCAGATCTAGTATGCTAGGAATCCTCTCTGGCTGCAGGTTGTTATTCATCCAAGGGCAATCTGCAAAGCAATTCGTACTAAGGTTGTTCAGAGGTGTAAATAGATGGTAAATGGTAAGTGGACAAGGCAACAGTGTAAATGGTTGTATAGCTTACATGATTGTAATGTATAGCATTTCTGTAAGATGTATAGGGTTGTACTGTCTGTATAGATGGTAATGTTTGTTGGCTGTTTTGTTGTAGCTAGTGGAGTGTACCCTTCCTAGAAGGTGCCACTTCACTAGGGACAGCTTGCTCCCTTCCCTCTTAAGGCACCCCTCCTAGAGGTGGCTTTAGGTTGGCTAGGGATCGTTAGGAGGTTTGTGTGCCTATTCTTAGGCTTGTGTAGTTAGGAGTAGTTACTTCTGTGATTAGTTTAAGTTGTTACCTGTTTCTTTACTTTGGTAATAAAATTACTTACATACAAAAAAAAATAAAAAATAAAATATCATGATTAGTTTTTCCAAAAATATACTTCCTATATATTCCTTAAAAATGTTATGACATATCTTTTTACAATATTTTTTTGTCAAGTTTTCTGATAATATATTTTATGTATATACAATATTATTATTCGTAATCTATGTATATACAATATTATACTTTGTAATAACTAATAAGTAATACCCGTACAATGCTTGGGATTTAAACTAGTTAGCAATAAAAATAGGGTTTCAATCACATACAAGGACGGATCCAGGGGTGCCCAGAATTTTGTAGTAGTATTATACATTTTCTTGATGCATTTTTTAAGCATAAGAAAGCTAGCTGAGTTGGTTATTTATTGCTAGTCATAATACCTATCCTACTATCATAGGTAAGCGATTCAAATCCCACTATTTGCAATTTTGTTTATGTCATGTTTTTTTTTTTTTCAAATCAAATAATTCTTGTTACTTTATAATTTATACGGCAAGTACTATAAAAAGTTCCTGGATCTGTCTCTGATCACATACCATTTTGCTTACATTCGTAATTTCATTTCAAACTCATACTACTTTATTATCCAGACGCACCCTATATCGAAGTAGCGAATGTAAAAGTGCAAAAGTCACGTCGTTATAGAAGAAGTATATTAATACCCGTAAGATATCCGTAGTTTCCATGCCAAAATCAAGGATGCTTTATCAGTGAATTCACTCACCTACTTTAATTCCCCATTAGAATTTATTAAATTTCTGCCTATAATCTTGAGTTAATCACCATAGTAGGTGCAAATTTCCCAACTAATAACAGATGGAAAATTGGTTATACCCATCTTAAGAAACTATACTTACAAGTTACAGGTTTTGTTCCAATACTCAAGACCATAAATCTGAAGCAAATTCTGTTTCAAAGCAACACTCAAACTAGCAACGCTATATATATAAGAAAAATTATTGTACAAAATATATATCTTATAAAGAATCCTTGTATCGTCCTACACTTTGTGTTGACTGATGGCTCAACTAAGCCTCCAGAAGTCGGAAACAGGTTACAATTCTTTGCAATCGTTGGTGCAAGGGAGCAATGATATGGTGGTAGCATTACTAAGATTGGTGGCTCTTTTGGCTACATTGGCTGCTACTATTGTTATGGCTCTTAACAAAGAAACCAAGACCTTTGTTGTTGCTACCATTGGTACTAACACTATTAAAGCTACACTTACCGCAAGGTTTCAAGACACCCCAGCAAATACGTGAGTTTTAACATTAATTTTGCACAATATATAAAGCTAAATCGTCTGATCAACTTACTAACAAACATTTTGCGCTTTTTACATACCGTATTATAAAAAAATGCACTATATTACTATATTATGAAAAAGATGACACATTCTATCACGTTTGTAAATGTATAAATTTACTTTAACTATAAATATTCACAAATTCTTGTATGTGGCTAGTCACATGATGTGGCCACTTTACATAATCACAGATAAGGCAATTAATTAAATAAAATAGGGCTTACGGTGATGAGCAAATGTGTTTACCTTAACGTATGTAGGTTAATTAAATGAGAAAAAGGGTTACTCTCTGAAATATGTGAAATTATTTTTTTATTATTTAAAACAAAAGAATAGGGGTTACTTGAATGAACAAATGAGGTTCCTTATTTCTAAATTTCTTGATTTTACTCTTATGAAAAAAATGAAGTTACTCATACATATAAATGAAGATTACTTTTATAAACCAATGTGGCTAAACCGTGTGGCTAGCCACATAAGGTAATATTTCAATTAATTTTATTTATTATTTTTTTTAATATGTTTTTTTTTTGTGAGGATATATTTCTGATTATATGTAAAAATTATGAAAAGTCAAATTGTGTCATCTAATTTGAAAAAATAGTATAAATGATCGAATTTAGGAAAATTAATCAAAAAAACAATATTCTATGATCTTGTTACTAATACCGTTTGTTTGCGATTAGATTCTTTGTTGTAGCTAATGGATTGGCTACTTTGCACAACCTGTTGGTGTTGGCAGCAATGTTCTTTGGAAAGAAGATTGATTCAAAAGGAGCTCGTTATGTGGTTATCTCATTTTTAGATATAGTAAGCTCTTCTGATTCTCTTTTGTATTTGTGTTCTTTGTTTTTGGTAAATGGTGGGTTTCGGGCACCCTCTTAGAAAGAAACTTTTGTTTTATTTTTTCCAAAGGTGTAAAGGTGTCAATTTGGATACTTCCGGTTTGGATAGGTTAGGTTAGATCGGTCTTGTGTATTTTAGAGTAAAGTTATGGTAATTTATTGTGTCCATAAGAATATAAATTTGAATTAGGATTTTTTTTGTATTAGATCAAATCGAATTAGTTATTGACACTTCTATTTTTTCCCATGATAAACACAAAGACGAAGTATATGTAATAGTGAAAGAATCCAAACCTATTACCTCACATTTTACCGTTTGATCATTGCGTGCTTATAGGTAACTTGGGCCTTGCTTGGTTGCATTCAAATTATTGCAGAAATATAAATTAATGAAAATTCATTAATTGGTAGTTGTTTAGATAGCATACAAAAGTAAAAATGTGAAAAGTTGCAATTCCTTGAAGAATTGGATTTTTCTATAATTTGGAAATTAATTTACCCACCTCTACCATGGTCACTCTAACTTCCCACGTTAATTTTTGAATGAAAATATATTATTATCTTACTACATTTGGTCTTGTCCAGTCGGATCACTTCAGGCCCCAAGTCAAGAAATGTTCAACCTTAACCCAATATTTTGGATTTGGGTAAGCCCAACAGATTAAAAACAATTTTTTAATATCTGGTTTTTAAAAGCTTTTTTTGCTATGTATTTTTCAGTTTTTTAATTAAACATCCCAACCTATATTGGTTTAGGGTCGGGTCAAGTCCAATTCGAGTCGAAAATTGACTAGCAAATTTAATTCTCTCTTCGTTTTTTTTTCCAAATGCAATAATTTGATTTTTACATTATTAATGTCTCGTTAATCTGTGAAATTTATTTATAAAAATAAATCAATAAATTACATGGTACTCATTGTACTACAGACGTATACAGTTTTGAATATAATCATGAGGCATGAGATTAAATTGAGTAATTTTCTTGTAATATGATCAATTCATACGATTATAAACTACAAATATTTTTTATTCAACAAGTTAAAACTTCATCTTTTTTTTTTTATCTTTTTTTTATTTATTATTATTTTTTATTCATAGGAGGAACTCTGTTAGGTGGGGAAGCACCCAAATAAAACCAATATATATCTACTAAGTCAACCAAATTAAATTACTCTAAACTAAACATCTCCATTTCCAATGCAAACACAAATTAATAGTGGGAATCAAACTTGTGAATTAGTGATGTTACGGTCTAAATGGTGCTAATCAAGCGACTTCATCACGAGCTAAGGGGTGTTCGACTTGACTTGAAAACTTTTTACATATGTTCAATTCGTGCTTGCTAAAGTTTCGAGCTAAAAAAAACCTTCTCGACTCATGCTCGTTAAAGTTTCGAGTCGAGTAGAGTAACTCACGATTTGCTCGTTATAGTTTTAACCCATCTAAAGTTATAGGCCGTTATTTTTTTTTTTTCACTTTATATAGGTTTTTTTTTTCACTTATTATTAAAGAATTACTCTTTCTTTTTTGATAATATAAATTAATTTTTATTGAGTGTCAAATTTGTAACTTTGTTTGTGAATTCTATATTAATAATATACATAAGCGAGTTGCTCACAAGCTTATCGAGTTGAGTTAGAGCTTGCTCAACTCGTGCTCGTTAAGATCTCGAGTCAAGTCGAATTCGAGTCGAGCCAACTCGAGTCGAGTTTTGACCAACCTTTGACCGAGTCGAATTCAAGTTGTTCACGAGCTATTCTACTCGATTAGCACCCCTAGGTCTAATGGTCTGCTAATCTTACTCACCTACTTTGTTAGTCATTTATTTTTTCATGGTGCACACAAAATCATCTAATATAGAATTTTAGATCAAACTTGTCAAAAACTTGAATACAGGTACATATAGGCTACCGTAGATGAGACAATTTGGGTATTGGGGTCAAATTCGATGAGATTAGGTTGGGTTTGGTGATATCGGGTTGGGTAAAGTCTATTTTAATTGTTCATGTTAAACCATTGTGTCCATACTAATAAAAATTTAAATCATAATTTTTCGGATTAGGTCGGATCTGATCGATCGGATCAGCTTTTGACACCTCTTTAGTAATGGTAACATTTACGTTCAACATGAAAAATGCAGATAAATCTAGCTATATTATCAGCTGGAACAAACTCTGCTGTGTTCATGGCACAATTAGCAAGGCACGGGAACAATCATGCACAATGGAACAAAGTATGTGACAAATTTGATACCTTTTGTAGCCGTGGTGGTGGTGCTATTCTTGCTTCATACGTTGGCCTTGCAATTTTTCTTATTGTTATTCTCATCTCAGCTTTTAAACTTCATCAAACAGTTGACAAGAATAATAATAATACTCATGCTTCTGTAGAAATGTAACATTTAATTTAAGAGCTTTTCACTATGCTATGAAATTATAACGTATCCTTTGTACTTATTTCAATTGAAAGAATATGATTTTAATTGTTCTAGCAGTTTAATTAATAATATCAAGAAAACAATTCAATTTTAATTCGTTAACGTTGGATCATTTTTGCCTGATTCTTTTGGATTGAATGGGGCTTATTTACATCTATACTTTTATATTAAAAAACATTCTTAATACAGAATATGTGTCACGTGTCACATGTTTGAATTTTACAAGAGTGCCAATGTCACCTCCACAATATTTATTACATTTGACAATTTATAAATGCTTATATGAACACTTGATCTTGAGACCAACAAGTATCAAGTTACAAGTCATACCACCTTAGCTATCCATTTACAACATTTTTTTACCCAACAAAATTATAGTTAACTTGGATATATAATGATTAGTGTTTGATTATCCTATTTGTTCTCATTATGTAATGATCATAAGAAAATTTACCAACTTTAATTTTGAAGTTTGAAAAACGACGTATTGTTTTTCGATTTAATGAAAAATAATAATTTTGTTTTTCTGTAAAATAATCAATAATTGTTAAATAAATTTTAAATCATAACATACAAAATATTGAATATGGTTTTCCTAATACAATTGTTTTTTTAAATTTTGAAATTTTCAAGATAATGAAGTTAGTATGATTACCTACCAATTTCTCTCTCCTCTCTCCTTTATTCTCTCTAAAAAAAACCCTAGCCTCCATCTTGGTTTTCGAAGGGAATTCCATCGGTTTTTACCGATGTAAAGCCCCAATCTTTGTTTCTTTACACTTTTTTGTTTGTCCTTTTGATTTATAATAATGATTTCTCCCTCGAAGAGAGGGTTTTTAATCTCCTTCGAAAGACAGAGTTTTTCTCTTCTTTTTAAGGGGAAGCACTTCTTGGAAAACAACAGCCTTAGGCAAGTATGTGTGGAAGGTAGCTATGAAGGAGGATTCTATGTGGGTTCGGTGGGTCCATGCTGTTTATATTAAAGATGGAAATTGGTGGGAGTACAAGCCAAAAAAGAGTGCAGGGTGGGCTTGGAAGAATCTCTGCCAGGTTAAAGACAGGCTGAAGAAGGGCTTTGTTAGTGAGGGATGGTTGAGCAGTTCTTATAGCATTTCAAAAATTTATAAATGGTTACTTGGCCCTCAGCAAGAGGTAGATTGGTCTTCATGGGTATGGAACAGGTTTAATATCCCAAAGCATTCTTTTCTCCTTTGGTTGGCTGTACAAAACAGGTTAAAGACTAGGAGCAGACTGTTTGACTGGGGTGCCTGCCAGGACAATAGTTGTCTCTTGTGTGGTGAGGCTATTGAGGACAGGAAGCATTTGTTTTTTGAATGTGAGTATAGCAGGAAGTGTCTCAAAGGTATCAGTGAGTGGCTGAATTTCCCAATAGATGATTTTAATATTGATACTTTATGGAAATTTTGGGAAGGAAAGGTGAAGGATACTGTCAAAAAAAGAGTTTGCTATGCTGCTTTGGCTGCAACTGTTTACCAGATCTAGTATGCTAGGAATCCTCTCTGGCTGCAGGTTGTTATTCATCCAAGGGCAATCTGCAAAGCAATTCGTACTAAGGTTGTTCAGAGGTGTAAATAGATGGTAAATGGTAAGTGGACAAGGCAACAGTGTAAATGGTTGTATAGCTTACATGATTTTAATGTATAGCATTTCTGTAAGATGTATAGGGTTGTACTGCTTGTATAGATGGTAATGTTTGTTGGCTGTTTTGTTGTAGCTAGTGGAGTGTACCCTTCCTAGAAGGTGCCACTTCACTAGGGACAGCTTGCTCCCTTCCCTCTTAAGGCACCCCTCCTAGAGGGTGGCTTTAGGTTGGCTAGGGATCGTTAGGAGGTTTGTGTGCCTATTCTTAGGCTTGTGTAGTTAGGAGTAGTTACTTCTGTGATTAGTTAAAGTTGTAACCTGTTTCTTTACTTTGGTAATAAAATTACTTACATACAAAAAAAAAAAAAAAAAAAAAATATCATTATTAGTTTTTCCAAAAATATACTTCCAATATATTCCTTAAAAATGATATGACATATCTTTTTACAATATTTTTTTGTCAAGTTTTCTGATAATATATTTTATGTATATACAATATTATTATTCGTAATCTATGTATATACAATATTATACTTTGTAATCACTAATAAGTAATACCCGTACAATGCTTGGGATTTAAACTAGTTAGCAATAAAAATCGGGTTTCAATCACATACAAGGACGGATCCAGGGGTGCCCAGAATTTTGTAGTAGTATTATACATTTTGTTGATGCATTTTTTAAGCATAAGAAAGCTAGCTGAGTTGGTTATTTATTGCTAGTCATAATACCTATCCTACTATCATAGGTAAGCGATTCAAATCGCACTATTTGCAATTTTGTTTATGTCACGTTTTTTTTTTTCAAATCAAATAATTCTTGTTACTTTATAATTTATACGGCAAGTACTATAAAAAGTTCCTGGAGATCACATACCATTTTGCTTACATTCGTAATTTCATTTCAAACTCATACTACTTTATTATCCAGACGCACCCTATATCGAAGTAGCGAATGTAAAAGTGCAAAAGTCACGTCGTTATAGAAGAAGTATATTAATACTCGTAAGATATCCGTAGTTTCCATGCCAAAATCAAGGATGCTTTATCAGTGAATTCACTCACCTACTTTAATTCCCCATTAGAATTTATTAAATTTCTGCCTATAATCTTGAGTTAATCACCATAGTAGGTGCAAATTTCCCAACTAATAACAGATGGAAAATTGGTTATACCCATCTTAAGAAACTATACTTACAAGTTACAGGTTTTGTTCCAATACTCAAGACCATAAATCTGAAGCAAATTCTGTTTCAAAGCAACACTCAAACTAGCAACGCTATATATATAAGAAAAATTATTGTACAAAATATATATCTTATAAAGAATCCTTGTATCGTCCTACACTTTGTGTTGACTGATGGCTCAACTAAGCCTCCAGAAGTCGGAAACAGGTTACAATTCTTTGCAATCGTTGGTGCAAGGGAGCAATGATATGGTGGTAGCATTACTAAGATTGGTGGCTCTTTTGGCTACATTGGCTGCTACTATTGTTATGGCTCTTAACAAAGAAACCAAGACCTTTGTTGTTGCTACCATTGGTACTAACACTATTAAAGCTACACTTACCGCAAGGTTTCAAGACACCCCAGCAAATACGTGAGTTTTAACATTAATTTTGCACAATATATAAAGCTAAATCGTCTGATCAACTTACTAACAAACATTTTGCGCTTTTTACATACCGTATTATAAAAAAATGCACTATATTACTATATTATGAAAAAGAGGACACATTTTATCACGTTTGTAAATGTATAAATTTACTTTAACTATAAATATTCACAAATTTTTGTATGTGGCTAGTCACATGATGTGACCACTTTACATAATCACAGATAAGGCAATTAATTAAATAAAATAGGGCTTACGGTGATGAGCAAATGTGTTTACCTTAACGTATGTAGGTTAATTAAATGAGAAAAAGGGTTACTCTCTGAAATATGTGAAATTATTTTTTTATTATTTAAAACAAAAGAATAGGGGTTACTTGAATGAACAAATGAGGTTCCTTATTTCTAAATTTCTTGATTTTACTCTTATGAAAAAAATGAAGTTACTCATACATATAAATGAAGATTACTTTTATAAACCAATGTGGCTAAACCGTGTGGCTAGCCACATAAGGTAATATTTCAATTAATTTTATTTATTATTTTTTTTAATATGTTTTTTTTTTTGTGAGGATATATTTCTGATTATATGTAAAAATTATGAAAAGTCAAATTGTGTCATCTAATTTGAAAAAAATAGTATAAATGATCGAATTTAGGAAAATTAATCAAAAAAACAATATTCTATGATCTTGTTACTAATACCGTTTGTTTGCGATTAGATTCTTTGTTGTAGCTAATGGATTGGCTACTTTGCACAACCTGTTGGTGTTGGCAGCAATGTTCTTTGGAAAGAAGATTGATTCAAAAGGAGCTCGTTATGTTGTTATCTCATTTTTAGATATAGTAAGCTCTTCTGATTCTCTTTTGTATTTGTGTTCTTTGTTTTTGGTAAATGGTGGGTTTCGGGCACCCTCTTAGAAAGAAACTTTTGTTTTATTTTTTCCAAAGGTGTAAAGGTGTCAATTTGGATACTTCCGGTTTGGATAGGTTAGGTTAGATCGGTCTGGTGTATTTTAGAGTAAAGTTATGGTAATTTATTGTGTCCATAAGAATATAAATTTGAATTGGAATTTTTTTCGTATTAGATCAAATCGAATTAGTTATTGACACTTCTATTTTTTCCCATGATAAACACAAAGACGAAGTATATGTAATAGTGAAAGAATCCAAACCTATTACCTCACATTTTACCGTTTGATCATTGCGTGCTTATAGGTAACTTGGGCCTTGCTTGGTTGCATTCAAATTATTGCAGAAATATAAATTAATGAAAATTCATTAATTGGTAGTTGTTTAGATAGCATACAAAAGTAAAAATGTGAAAAGTTGCAATTCCTTGAAGAATTGGATTTTTCTAAAATTTGGAAATTAATTTACCCACCTCTACCATGGTCACTCTAACTTCCCACGTTAATTTTTGAATGAAAATATATTATTATCTTACAACATTTGGTCTTGTCCAGTCGGATCACTTCAGGCCCCAAGTCAAGAAATGTTCAACCTTAACCCAATATTTTGGATTTGGGTAAGCCCAACAGATTAAAAACAATTTTTTAATATCTGGTTTTTAAAAGCTTTTTTTGCTATTTATTTTTCAGTTTTTTAATTAAACATCCCAACCTATATTGGTTTAGGGTCGGGTCAAGTCCAATTCGAGTCGAAAATTGACTAGCAAATTTAATTCTCTCTTCGTTTTTTTTTTCCAAATGCAATAATTTGATTTTTATACTATTAATGTCTCGTTAATCTGTGAAATTTATTTATAAAAATAAATCAATAAATTACATGGTACTCATTGTACTACAGACGTATACAGTTTTGAATATAATCATGAGGCATGAGATTAAATTGAGTACTTTTCTTGTAATATGATCAAT